TCCTGCTCAAGACCCTGTTGGGACCCCAGCGATGCTATGTCCCACTCGAGACCCCATTGACTGTGTCATATCCTACACAAGACCCCGCTGAGGTCCCACTCTCCATGCCCTTGGGACCCCATTGACCACACCGTGTCCCACTCAAGACCCTACTGACGGCCCCATGTCCCACACAAGACCCCATTGGGACCCCCTTGACTAAACCCTCAGCACTGCTCCCCTGTGTCACTCCCAGAATGGCTGATAAATTCTTCCCCTCCTCCCCAGACGGATGCAGACATCTGAGCCACGCTCCTGAGCTGCTCATTACACGCTAATGAGAAAGTTGAGCTGCTGCTCTGCTGTTTATCAAGGAAGCATCCATTATGGATGGCACTTTGTGCTAAACAAAGGGCGCGAAGGTTTGAAGGAACGCGTGCTGTTCCTGTTGGATCAATATGGAGCCAAACCTCCCTGAGAAAGAAATGCTTCCCCTCCCCAGGGCTTTGCACAGCTTCCAAAACACAGCCAAAACGGGATCATTTCCAGCCCAGCTCTGCAAAAACAAACCCCACTGCCTCTCCTAGGGGCACTGCTGCCTCCATCCCTCATCCCCAGCCACGAGAACTGCTGGAAGGCACTGAAAAATGGAGAAAACTGAGGCAACTGAACACCACCACTCTGCCTTTGGATGCCGAGGAGCTACAGTGGAGGCAGGGAAATTCTTCAGCACCAGCATCAGTGAAGCATATAAGACCAGATTATTTGTGTTCCCGACTTGCTGATGCAAGATGAAAAATACAGCAAACTGCAGCTGCTGAAATCAGCTCTTTTCTCCCCTCTCCTTCCCTTTCCCCTTAGCTGAGGTTAGTGTTTTGCAAAAGGTTTTTATATTCTGGGAGCTAAAACCTGTCCGTTGCAATCAGACACAAAGCTCGGGGAGTTTGTCAGGCTCCTCCGCCGTGCTGGGAAAAGCTTCTTGGCACAAAGAGCTGTGCAAATTGCAGCGAGCTGGGCTTGATTGCACCCTGGGAGCTGAGCCTGGGGGCCGGGCATCCCGTGGGGAGGGGTTGGTGGCCCCGGGGCTGCCCCTGTAACAGAGCATCCCCCGCGCAGAGTGCTGTACAGAGAGGGCTCCAGGCTGAAATAGCAGCAGGGCACGCTGTGTCCCCATCCCAAACACCACCAGTGGCGAAACCCTCTGTCATCTGTCAATCGGGAAACAAATCCTTTCCTTTTTACTCCTGCAGAGAGTTCAGCTCAGGTGGTTTGGCCCGGATAGGTCACAGCTTTAAAGTGTTCTCACAGCTGCAAACACATTGAGGTCATGCGAGCTGCTGGAGCGCGTCAGCATCCCTCAGGGGGAGAGCATCAGCATCCCTGGCTGCCCCGAAGGCTCTTAACCCCTCCTGCACCCCAGTGCTCCATGCAAGCTACTTACAGCCAGGAGCAAAGCACCCCACACTCCTCAGCCCCCCCCAGGGTTAGCAGGGATGGGGTGGGACCTCAGTGCAAACCCAGGTCAGACTGCACACACACAGGGGTCCCACCACGGGGAGGAAAACAGCTCAGAGGAAAGCAAAGCTCTGCACACCAAACCCCAGAAATAAATGCTGGGTTTATCCACCAGCCGGGCACTGACAAAAAAAAATGCATTCCCCTATGGAGCAAAACATCCCCAGAGCTGCTGACGTGGGTTATTCACCTCCGCGGCACCGAACTCCCGAGCAAGCGTCTCCCACTGATGGAGAGGTGCTGCCATTAATTTGGCTGCGGCTCAGCGCAGCCCTGCTATCTTTTATTCACACCCATTGGCGTATTGTATTACTTTTTGATAAAAAGCCACATTCCCACGCTTTGAACGCAGCCAGAGGAAGACCCGGAGCGCTCTTATTTATTTTGCCACCGGGCTGCGGGAACCTCCATCACCCTGATGGCACCGAGACCGTCCTCCTCGCAGGAAACTTCTTGGCTGATCCGGGGCTTGGAGGGCGGCAGGAGGATTTTTGCTGTATGAATAATGAGTTTTATAATAGAGAAGAAGCCTCACCTCCCCCCGGCTTCGCTCTGCCGCGCGGAAAACAGCGCGTATGGCAGCAGTGAGGTTCTGCTGGGGGTGCTGACAGCACAGCGATGGGATTCGGTTGGTGTGGGCACTGAAGCTCTGTGCCTTTGTCACTCATTTCAAGGCAGTGTCAATTAGCCAGCCTTACAGCTTGGGGAGATGGAGCAAAGCACCCTCCAGCCCCTGGGCTCACCTACAAGGACTGTTCCCCTCTGCTTTCTTCCTATCTTAAAACCTGAAGGCATCTCTGTCTCACAGGCTTTGCTGCCTCCTCCTACTCCATGCATTTTGGAGGTGTTACTGTACTACTAATCACAAAAAAAATAAGTGTGGCATAAATGAGGAAGCACCCATCTTCAAAAAGAGTTAAATTCACAACATCCTGCTGTCTTTTACATTGTGGAAGAGTCAAGCATATGGAGGTTGTAGACAAAACACGCTGAATAAAGCTCAGATTGCAAAAGCCCCATGGACTTCCCTAGAGCAAAGGCTCCCTTACCAGAGAAACTCTGGCCTTTCAAGCGCACGCAGAGTGAAAACAAGAGCAAGCAGCACATGGAGCAAAAACAAGAATAGGAGGCATTTCACCTGGAGTGTAATAAGGGGGAGGAGCAACCAAATATTGGGCTGATGAAATAAGGGTGAATTACAACAAAGCCTTCTTCTCCACGCGCTCCAGGCCGCCTCCCAGCCCAACACCTCTCCACCAGCAACCACAGCCACGACCCTCCCTCATCGTGCATCGTGCAGGAGGAAACCTGGGAGGACGCAAAGAGCCATGCAACGAAAGCACCTCCAACCCAACCGCAGCCCCGTTACCGGCACAGGTGGTCGGCGCGGCACACGTTGCGCAGATCCAAGCAGTTGGGTTTCTCCTTGTCCTCGTAGGAGCAGGACGGGACGATGGTTTGCCGCCGACGCTCGGCGCACGCCTGGTCCTTGCAGGAGCAGAAGAGGAGGCGGTAGGTGAACTCGCTGGGCACGCGGTCGAAGAACTGGCGCAGGGCTTTGTGGCATTTCCGCCGGGTGCAGTGCTCGGTGGGCGAGATCTCCCTGCTGCAGGTGGAGATGTATCCCGAGCGCAGGCGCTTGCAGTTGTCGTTCAGGTTGCACGCTTTGGCCGCGTCGAGGCAGTGGTTGCTTTTGGAATTGGTGGCGGGGTCCATTCCTGCCAAGAGAGGAGAAGAGGTGAGAAGGGGGCGACGGCAATGTGGGGTTCGGAGGTGGGGAGGGTTTGGGTGCTGCAGATCCGCTCAGTTTTCACCCAGTGTGCGACGTGGAGCTCTTCCTCCAACGTGGGAAGGGTCATCCTTTGTGCTAGGGTCCATCCACACCCAGTGCATAAAGGGATGCAGTCAGGCAGCCCTCAGTTCGTAACACAGTGACTTTGCAGCAGTTGCTTTGGATTATTTTTTTTCTCTAGTTAATTATTCCAAGAATAATTATTAATTATCCAGGCTGCTCTAAAGCAGAACCATTTGCTGAGCTGCACGGGGGCCCAAGCAATCCCCACCAGGACCCCCACATCCAGGTCACCCCATGAGCCCCGGGGGGGGAAGGATGAGGTCAGAGCTGCCACCAGCACTCAGCTGCATCCCACACCATTGGGAATCCCAACCGTCAGCAAACACGGAGGAGAGGAGGGCACGGGAGGAGCTGAACCACCGAGCAGGAACAAGCGCTGATTTTTTCTTTGTTTTTGTCAAAATGATGAATTGCCCTTGGCAGGCCAGGTGCTATTTTAAAGTCACCTGACTGCACCAGCAATTTCTCCCCTAATTTCCTCTCCTTGCGCAGCCCAGCCAATTCCGTGGACTCTTCCATTGTCTCCTGCTTCCCGCTGGCAAAGACAAATGACAGCACGGAGGAGAGTTCCCTACCAGGCGTATTTGTAGGGCCCTGCTAATTAGCAAACAGCAATCGGGTGCAATGGAGGGTGCTGCTCCCCTCCTTGCTTTGCTTCCCATGGAGCGATGCCCACAGCCCAGGGAGCATTTTGGGACAGCACAGGACCAGATCGGTCTCTGTTCCAGAGGTCTTAATAAACTCGGTGTGAGCATCCCAACCAGTGTGGGCATCCCAACCAGTGTGAGCATCCCAACCAGTGTGGGCATCCCAACCAGTGTGGGCATCCCAACTTGATGTGGGCATCTCAGCACGGATGATCGCAAGCACCGCCTGCATTAACAGATCCTGATTAAAAGTCAAAGCACGACGCCCTTCCCTTCGTTTTGCCCCATGCAAACTCCCAGTTCCTGCACCCCATAGGTAAACCCGTATGCACACCCACCAGCATCCCTGAGCTGCTCTCAGGATGCCACCAAGTGTCACCTGTGTGATGAATGCCCCACATGGGAGCAGGGCGAGGAGCTCAACACGACATGCGTAAAGTGAGTCCTTATGATACATGATTTATAAGCAGATCTGCCTCGAAAAATAGTGCGAGAAGCAGGAAGGTTGTCTGAGCTAAGAGAGACGTTTTAGTTGGAGAGGAGAGGAATAAAGCTGTGAGAGGGGGAGGAAGGAGCAAAGATGAGACACAGAGGGCTTTGCAGGCCCAGAACGGGGTTGGGGCTGGAATTTGACTGCAGGAGCCCGCCAACCTTGCTGTGCAATGGGTTCCCTCCAACTGAGGATGGAGGCAGCTCATGACGCTGATGCCAGCAGAACAGAAAGGGGAAAAGGATTTGAAGAGGATGGGGGAAGCGTGGCCCTCCTTCCTGCTTCAGGTCAGCTCCTGCTCAGCTCTGGGATTCACGGAGCACCCGTGGGCTCTGTGCAAAGCACCGATTTACTGCCTAATCCTCCCGAGCAGCTGCTGCCCTGCCCCGGATCTGCAGGGACCTGGCTGCATGCTAATGGAGCGGCTGCTCTGGAGCGCAGCGTTTCTGGGGAGCTCATTAATAAAGCACAAGCATGAAAATTTCATGAGGCAGGAAGGGAAGAAGGGCCGCGGAGCGCTGGGGGACGAGGTGCCACCGGCCGACCCCTGGGCATAGGATGGGGATGGGGGAAGGAGGAAGAGGGGTGAGGAAGGCAGCGCTGCTCCGTGATGCCCATTGCTTTTGTGGGACGACCCCAGAGCTTCCAAGCAAAGTTCTGATCCCGACTGGGAGCTGCGTGAAGCAGAGCCCTGCAAACCCTGGCACCGATCCGCGCTCCCCGCGCAGCCCTGGGCAATGCACTTGATCCTGCTGCTCCAATTCCCCCCTCATGCCAGCAACCAGGGCTGAGGTTTTTCCCTCCTTCCCCGCTCCTGCTTTGCATGCAGGCTGCCGCTTCTGCAGGGCGCTCTGCGAGCATCCTCACCTGCTGCTCTGCCTCGCGGGAGGACCCCCAACCTCCCTCTCCCCCCCTTATGCCCGCACAGAGCATCGCTCCCTGCTTCCCCAGCCCCTTCCTTCCAGCAGGGTAATGTAATCCCCTGCTATCCCCATAGGCAATTAGCAGCGTGCCGGCTCAGCCTTGTTATCCAGAAACAACAAGAGCAGCTCATTTGCTTCGAGCACACGGGCTGCGGGTCGGGGCTCCCGGCTGCCCTCACCTCCAGCCTTGCTTAAATCCTGCATAGGAGGGGGATGGAGAAGGGCTGGGATGGGAGCAGCAAGCCCACCCCCACGGCCATGGCAGAACATCCCATTCCCCTTCCCCAAAAGGCAGAGAGGTTTTCCTTCTGCTCTCGCTTTGCTTTTATGAATAAATCAGCCCGTGAGCGTTTAATCCCCCGCTCCAGACGCTCCGCTTCTCATACTTTCCAGCAGCTAAAATATTTCCTTGATGGTAATGTAATCCAAAAAGGAGTGCGGGAGATGGGAGGAAGTGGCAGCGCCTCCTGATCCAGTGCTGAGCATCCAAACCCTTCAGGTGATGGCAAAAAGGGTCCTCCAAGGCGTGGAGGGGTCCCAGGGATCATGCAGGGTCCTCAAAGCCCCCACCTGGCTCTGAAGAAAAGGGTTCAGAGGAGAAGGAGAAGCCACGGAGCTGCTGACCTAAATTTGAAAGAGGGTTGTCATGGAAATAGATGGCAAAAAGGAAATTCCTAATGGACCCGTGTGGGGTTTGGGCTCCCAAGAGCTCCGAGAGGCTCTGAGCAGCATCTCTGGGGCTGAGACAGCAAGCATCGCCCCTCAGCACCAGCTCTGCCAGCAGAGAGATGCCCAAAGCGTGAGGGAGATGCGAATGGGGGAGTGGGGAGGGCTGGAGATGCCACGGACCCAACCACGGCTGCAGGTCTCATTGCCACGGAGCTCAGCTGCAAGATGTATTCATGGGTGAGAGAGGATAAAGCAGGGGCTGGATGGATTACCTGAGAAAATTGAAGCGAGTCTGAATATATCAGAGAGACGAGAGGTGATCGGCTCGTAGGGGGAAGCTTCGTAAAACTCTTCTCCTGGAGTGGGGTGGGGAGGAAGAGAAAAGGGAGAGAAAGCAAATGAAAGACCCCAAAAGGCAAACGAAAGACCCCAAAAAGCAAACGAAAGAGAAGGAGCGCAGCCACTCCGAGCATCTCCCTCCTGCGAGGAAGGGCAGAGCAAATAAAGGGGCTTGGGGGCTCTGCAGGGGTGGGGGGCCCTGGTGGGGCTGCTCAGGTCAGCTTGGTGCCGGCAGCTGCCTGGTGTCCAGGTTTGGGTTTGGCAGAGGCTCAGTGCATCCCTTCTGTTCAGAGCGAAAGGTCGGCGCTCCTGCTGCAGGATGGAGGTTTGGGGCCTGCACTCGGTGCTGGATGAGTAATTATTTCCCATTTTTTTTTTTGTATGGGGAAAATAATATTTAAAAAAAAAGCATAAAAAAAGCATTTCCTTACTCAAAGCAAAGCACTGCTGTGAAATGCTTTCCACCCTGCTCTTGGTGCAGCCCCACGTCAGGATGTCAGGAGAGCCGCCCGCAGCTCCCGCCAGAGGAAACGCTCTCCTCCGACCCCATCGGCCACAAGGTTTAAAGAATAATAACATATACAAATATGCCTACCAAAAAGAAATCGATGGCCAGGCTGGGAAAGCCCGGCCTGAGGTTGACCTGCAGCCCAGAGCATTGATTTCCATGGGGCCTTCGGGCAGAGTCCTGCCCCCTGTGGTGATGCTGGGCGCTGCTATGGGGCAGGGGACGATTCTGCTGTCACTGCTGGTGGGGAAGCAGTGCGCTCTGAGCTCCGTTCTGCTGGGTTTCCCAATGCCCCGATGACAAATTGCACCTTTATTAAAGTGCATTTAGGAAACGCTGTAACCTCTCGCTATATTGCTTTGCCGATGCAATAAATAATTAAATACCAGCTGAACCCTGCTGCTCGCTAGGAAAATTAGCCAGCATTAGAAGGGCAGTGGACTTTTCTTGAGCTCACCGAGATGCAATTAACCTCCAGGAGTGGAAGCAGCACTCCTTAATGGCAGCGGCTGCCCAAGGGCTGGGATGCAGCACGCTTCTGAGAGGCACGAGGTTGGGCTCTGCCTGGGGCTCCATGCAGTTTTACCCCCCCTGCTCTGCGCACGCAGCCCCCACCTCTCCTCCAGAAACGGGACATCTCCCATTTTCCCATCCCCATCGAGACCCCTCCGTTCCCTCTGACTCTCCTGAAGGAAGGCTGCTAACGAGGGGCAGGGAGAAATTAGCAGCAATTCTTGCTCTGGGCCGGTTTTGGGACTGCCCAGCTCGGAGGGATGCTCTGCCCTCAACCAGGACGGGCTGCTCCTGTGCCAGAGTGCGTTCTGCCCCCCAGAATCTGAAGGAGGCGGCTCAGAACCACCCAGCACCCGACGGCAGGGCAAAGCACGGCGACCACAGAGGGGTGAGGGCTGAGCCCCACTGCCTCCAGGCAGCAGATAACGCTGCCTTCTGTGAACAAACCAGCGCTGCTCTGGCAAAATCCAATTTCAATTACCTGCGCTGCTCCGGTCTCTGATTTATGCCTCCAATGGGCTGCAATCAGGACTGCCTCCAAGGGCTGCAACATCCCTCTGCTTCCACCCCTTCTGAGTGAGGTTAGAGGGGGATGGGGGCACCCGTGGGGATCAAATCCTTCCCCCAGGGGGGCCCCATGGACCCCGCAGTGCTGCGAGGACCTCAGTCTCAGCACTGAGAAGGGCGAGCAGCAGAGGAAGGGGAAATGATCTCAGGAAACCCTCACCTGCCCTTTACCTCTGCAGAACTCAGGGTGCTTTAAAATGGAAACGGCAGACACAGGGATTGCCCAAATCCACGGGAAAAAGCCCCATTTCCTCCAGCATTTACGGCAAGAGAGATCTGGAGCAGCTGCCCTCATTCGAGGCAGCAGAGAAGGGCCCCCAACCTCTTGCAGGCTGGAATGAGGGAAGAGCATCCTCACATCCTCCCCCACCAGCATCCTCCGAGCGCTCTCCCCACGCAACCCCATGCAAATTCAAACCCAACGTCCCATACCTTCGGCCAGCCCGAGGTGTATACTCCAGTAGATCTGAAGGCACTGAAGCTCCTTTTTCATGCCCCTCTTGCAATGGCAGTCGTACAGCGGGCTCTCCTGCAGCACCTCCAGGGCCGCCTGGCACTCCTTGTTGGCCAGCATGGTGTTGCGGTCTCGTCCCGCCAGGCACTGCCGCAGGGTTCTGTACCTGGAGCTGCAGCTGCCCTCGGATGCACACAGCTCACTGGCACGCACGCAGTCCACCGGCACCCGCCAACCCTGTGGGTCCTGCCCGGGGGGGGACGGGGGGGGCGGCCAGCGAGCGGAGGGTCTCATCTGAGCGTGGGGAGATGAAGGGAGAGATGAGGGCAAAGAGAGGTGAGGGGGAGCTGGAAGGGGAGGGCTTCGTACCCGGTGCCCCCTCTCCAACCCCATCCATCGGCCTCCATCCTGGGGCAGGAGGACGGGCTGATCCTTGTCCCCACACCTGAGGGATTTAGGAGCCTCTTTTGTGGGTGCTTCCCATCACACTCAGCCTTTTGGAAACCACGCGCTGCTCCGGAAATGGAGCGCATCCCATCGCTTTCTGAGCATCCTTCCGCTTCTTCCCAACGCCACTGTGTCCTCTGCAGACAGCAGCCTTGGGGGGGGGGGGGGGGGGGGGGGGGAAGGGGGTCTGCAAAAGGGGTCTGCAAAACATGGCCATATGTGACGGATGGGCTGGAGGGAGCAGCGGGGCTCTGTGCAACCACTGTGCCCCTACAGCAAGGCCATGCCATAGCCATGGGAGCGGGGTGAGCGCGTTGCACGAGGACGTGGGGCCTCTTCTCTCGTATCGAAAGCAAACAGCAGCGAAACGCAGTGTGCTCCCAGCCCCGGTGATGGGGAGGCAACGCGCCGTGCTTGACCTCTGCAGAGTCAAGGGAAGCAGCGCGTGGATCTGACCCCCCCTCCCCTCCCCATCCCCCCCTCCGCTGTGTGCTGCTGTTTTTAGTTCGCAGCTCGGCGTTTGCAGCCCTGCCATGGGATTTTTAGGGCATCTGACTCATGGTTCTGAGCGCTCGGGTTTGGCAGGGCTGTGGCTTGGCGTGGTGCAAGCTGTGCCCCCAGCAAGGCCCCCCGCCTGCCTATGGGATGTGGCCGTGCTCCAGCCCCATCCTTGCACAGCCACTGCCTCCATTGGCCACCCATCCCTGTGCCCTCCCCTCACTAAAAGCCATTCCCTGTGCTCTCAGCTGGGTTTTGTTCTTTTGGTTTTGTTTTTTGCTTTCCAAATTATTCTCACTGTCTCGGCCCCAGGAAGGGCCGCAATCTGCTCACAGAGGCACAAGGATGGGCTGCAATGGCATCGTGCGTCTCCAAAGCCACAACGGAGACAGGGAGGAGAATGCAGAGCTTCCACCATTCCTGAGCCCACCTGCAACCTCGGGATGGACGCAGTGGGACCTGGAGGGTCCCCATGGAGGGACACCCCGCCTGGTGCCCCGCTGTGCCCTGCTTTGGGAACAGCCAACATCAGCCTCCAGCTCCAAGCCCCCGAGCTCGGCCGGGTACTGCGTGGGGACAGTGACACCTACAGGCATGTGACAAGGGCCACCTGTGTCCACTTGGCCACGCGGGTTGCTCCACGTCCCCAGCAGCGTGCCACAGAGCCAATGCAAGGCCATGGGGGGGGATGAGGGGCACTGAGGTCTACGTGGCTCTTGGAGCAAGGTGGGGGGTGGGCACGGGCAGCGCCGCCCTGTGAGAGCACATCTGCTGCCCGCCATCCGGCCGTGGAATGATGCCATCCTGCTGGGCTCCATCCGACGTCCCCGAGAGAAATCCCACGTTACATCCAATGCAGGGCGGCACGTGGCCGGTCACGATTATATTCCACAGGGGAGGTGGGCAGGATCTGCACACCAAAGGGGGTGAAGGTGGCATCCCAAATGCTCCCTGAGGCAGAAACGCAGCGAGGTGGGCAGACACACGAGCTCTTGGCCATGAGACGGGTGAGGTTGTGGCGCTCTGATCAACACGGGGCCGGCACCGCGTCCAGATGGGGAAACTGCAGCTTGACACTGAGCTGGGACACACTGCTGCTGCTTCAGGACGTGCAGAGCCATCCCACAGCTCAGCTTCTCCGGTTGCACGTCCTTCCAGCTCCTGTGCAAACCCACAGCTCAGCTGCACGTTTTTCTGCTGATGCCACGAAGCCTCTTTGCACGCCCTTGGTGTGAAGCCTCTCCTCCGGCCGCGCTCCCACCTCTTTGCTCCGCATGCTGGGATGATGCAGGGAAGACGACAGCATTGCTCCGATGCAAAAGGCGCTGGGGCATCACGGAGCATCCTCACAAGGGTCGGTGGCACCCTGGGCAGCGAGGTGCTGGGGTGGGCATCCAAAGGATCCAGGCGAGGAGCTCAGCAGTAAATCCACCCACCGACCGCACGCTGCGCTCCCAAGGCCCCAGGGCACAACCCCAGCAGCTTCCAATCGCCGTCCCCTTTTGGCAGCGCAGATCTTTCCCCTAAACCCACTGGATCAGAAGGCACGGAGGCTTTTATTTTTTTCCCCTTGCACTTCACTTCCTGCCGCCTCACGGCACCGCCAAGCAGGGCAAAACCCCCAAACCTCCCCCGAGCTGCGAGGTGGGGATGGAGGAGCACGCACTCGCTAAACTCACATCAATAAAACATCTGCAGAGAATTTCAGCCTAATCCCATCCATCCCTGGGGTGCCGCTGGAGCAACGACGCGGGGTTTGCAGGCGGATGCACGAGGCTCCAGCATTCAGCAAGCAGCGCGACCGCCCCGCTGTGCTCTGCAGCCTCTTTTCTCCCCTCTTTGCTATGCACGTTTCCTTTTGGCGGCTGTGCCAGAGACCTCCGGGCGCAGGCAGCCTTAGGAGGTGAATGTTTATCCTCACAACTTGGCGATAAATAAAAGGCGCTGCTGAGGAGCACGCAGCCTCGCTCCTGTTATCGCCAACCAAAAGGGATTTTTTTTTGCCTCTCCGGGAAGAAAAGAAGCTGACGCTGAGAGCTGGGCTCCCTCCTGCCCACCCCAAGGCATGGGGATGGAGGCAGAGGGTCCGGCTTTCAGATACCCCGACGCCTCAAGGATGCACCCAGTGCTCCCCATCCCGAAGGTGCCCATCCTTTGGAAGCTCCTCATCCGACATCTCCGGCTGAACCCAAGGAGCATCCACACCGCCGCCCCCCAGCAGCCCCCCATCTCACCCCACCTCTCACTGCCTGGCTGGGAAGCCTCACGCTCCCCCCGCCCAACAGCCTTACAAGGGAAGGACGCCCCAAATCAGGGCTCTGGTTTCTCCCACCCCACACAGCAGCACGGGACCCGCAGCCCCCCAGCAGCATGGCTCTCCTTCCCTGTCTCACAACGGGGACGGCGCATCCCCGCAGCCGCGCATCCCCGGCGGTGCCGAGCACCGCACACCCAAAGGCTCCCCGCACACACGGGGGGCTCCGCCGGGAGCTCTGTGTGCCGAAATCCACCTCTCCCATCCCTTCACCCCGTCGGCGCTCCCAGGCTCCGTTACAGCAGGGCGATGGGATGGCGGTCGAGTGCTGGAGCGCAGCTGGAGCGCAGCACGCAACCAAACCGCGTTCCTACGGATTTCAGGACAAAAACGCACTCTCCTGATTCCCCCTTCCTGATTTTCTCCCTTCTCACCCCTCTGCCTCTGACTTTTCTCCCTTCCCTCCGCTTTCTTTTGGCTGTGCCGTCCTCGGCTCCGCGTTGGGCTGCCCTACAGCCCCTCCTGGCACAGCCGGAGCTCCGAACAAAGCGCACACGGACGAAAGCAGAGCGCACGGATTGCAGCAGCGGGGACGGCAATTCCCTGCGCTCTCACACATGCAATCGGCTCAACTTTCCCGAGCGACTCTGAACACTGCGCTTGGAAGGCATTGCAAGGAACGGGGGGAACGAAGGCAAAGGGGGGAAAGCAGAACCCAAAATGCAAAGACAGCGCTGCGGGGAGAGGGGACGGGAGGCTGCCGCGCTCCGATGGCTGATCCCGCTGCTCGCTGGGGCACGGCCCTGCGAAGCCGGGCTTTATCCCCGCCTTAAGTTGGATGGAGATGGGGAAAATCGAGCTGCCCTCGGCTGAATTCCTGCTCCCGGTGCAGGCGCAGAGCGCGGAGGGGAGGAATCGCACCGCTGCCCTCCGTCCCCGGTGCCACTCACCTACAAAGAGGACGATGCAGAAGGCGTTGGCCAAAATCATGGTAGTACATCCACGAGTTCCTCCACGTGCGTTAAAAAAAAAAAAGGAAAAAAAGAAAAAAAAAAAAAAACAACGGGGGGGGGGGGCGGGGGGGGGGGGGGCAACGGGGGCGGAAAAAAAAAAAGGAAGAAAACGAAGACAATTCCCACCGCGATCCTCCAGGTAGATCCCAAATCCGGGTGAGGAGCGCTCCTCCGCAGCGCTCCTCACGCTGAGCCCGTTGCGGGGCCGCTCAGCCCCGTCCCGCCGCCTCCCGCATCCCCATCGCCTCCCGCAGCCCCCGGCCCCGCTGCTCTCGCCGAGCGCCGGCGGCGGAGGAGAAGGGGCAGAGCCGGCGGTGCCGCCCGTCCCTCCCTCCCTCCCGCCCCGGCCCTCCCCTCCCCGCCGCTCTCCGCCCCTCCGCGGGGTTCGGGCGCAGCGCAGCGCGGGGGGAGCGCGGCCGCGGACGCCCTTCCGTCGCCCTTCTGTAGGGCTGGGGACGGGGCTGCGCCCAAAGCGCGGCTGGGGGACGCCCGGCTCTCCTTCCCCCATCCCTGCACCGCCGTGTGCCTCCAACCTTTCCTCCCTCCATCCCTCCATCCCCACTCCTTGTGATCCTCCATCCCCGTCCCTCCACCCTCCATCCCTGTATCGCTCCATCCCTCAATCCCTGCGTCCCAGTGTTACTCTGGCCCCATATCTCCTCATCCATGTGCCCCCAACCTCCCCCCCCCCCCCCCCCCCTCCCAGCCCCCCATCCCTCAACCCCCCCTGCAGCTGCAAAGCCTGTGCACAATGGGGGACCCGAGGTGACTCCTCTGTGGTGCAGCCCCCCATCTCTCCCCTGTTCCCCTTCTCCCTCCCCAGCGCCCCGGTCCCTGCACCATGGGGGTGGGGATGGGGGGACCTGGTGGGTCATGGGGTCTGATGGGATCGGGGTGGGATGGGGATGGGGTGGGGATTGGGGTGGGGATGGGGATGGAATGGGATGGGATGGGATGGGATGGGATGGGATGGGATGGGATGGGATGGGGATAGGAATCAGGATGGGGACGGGGACGGGAATGAGGGTGGAATGGGGTGGGATGGGATGGGATGGGATGGGATGGGATGGGATGGGATGGGATGGGATGGGAGTGAGGATAGGATGGGGATAGGAATCAGGATGGGGACGGGGACGGGAATGAGGGTCGAATGGGGTGGGATGGGATGGGATGGGATGGGATGGGATGGGATGGGATGGGATGGGATGGGATGGGGTGGGATGGGATGGGATGGATGGGATGGGGATGAGATGGAGATGGAGATGATGGAGATGGGGGTGGGGTTGGCAGCACCTCTCTGCCTCTACCTGGAGCTGACAAGGGATCTCCCCACACAGCCTTGCCCCTGACAGCGAGGTGCTGGCACAGCTCTCGGTGCTGGGTGAAGATGCAGAAAGGAAGACGAGGATGGCACGAACAACAGATCAGAGCAATAATCGTTAGCGAGGCTTCCTGTTTAACATCCCTTCCCGTCCTATTCTTCTCCTGTTCTTTGCTCTCCTTTGCTTGTCTTTGCTTTTTTTTTTTTTTTTTAATTAAAAAAAAAAAGAAAGCCAAACACCAAAAAAGCTCACAGCAGCTTAGCAGGATGTGACTGCGCTTCACGGAGCCTAAATGCAGCCAGCAGTGCCAAGCAGTGTCCTTAACTGCCCGGCATCACTTTGATTTTGTCAGCTCTGGTCTCACCGTGTGCTCACACCCGTCTTCCTGCTGCAGGGTTGCCCCCAGCGCCAGTCCTGAGGAGACAAAACCACGTCTCTCTTTGTTCCGTCCTTGTCCCCGTATCCCTGCCCTAAATCCCCGAGCTGAAGGGTGGCTGCTTTGTGTGGGGTTTGATGCAGGGACCTGTGGGGTTTAATCTCACCCCTCTCCTTGCCAGGGGGGATTTCAGGCCCTCAGAGCCCCTCCAGCCAAGGGGGGCCCTGAGTGTGAAGCTGTGACTGGGGGGTCGGGCCGGGTGGCACCGTGCTGTAGAGGGAGATGCGACAACACACACAAGGAGGCTTTTGGGGATGCGGGATGCAGGAGGGAGGCTGAGGCTTCAGGGAGGGCTGATTTGGGATCAGAGGAGCGTGCACTAATGCAGCCCTGCACACATTTGTGTATGGAAAGCAAACGAGCTCATTATGCCGCAGCACAGAGCAAACGGAACGACAGCGCAACGTCACCGAAAGGCCCCATCCTGGTGTCCCCTCCCACGGCCAGGACAGCCATCGAGTGACATCCACGCGTTGCCTCCTGCACGCCATGGGCTGCACCATGTGCTCTGCTCCTTTTTTTGCTCCAAAGCTCCAGGATTTTCCCCATTCAGGGCAGGGGATGCAGACCCAGAAGTGCACGGATCACCTTTGCCATCCGAAAGGCTGCAACCAACCATCAGAGCACGAAACTGCCCTCGGCTTTCCGCTGGGGCAGCACTTGGTCTCCATCCTCCTCCCCGCATCGGGGTGCCTTCCAAGAACAGATCCCAGGGCTGCACCGCAGCATGGCACCGTCACCCCTCTCTCCCTTTGGGAATCTCCTTAGGGATCCTGTTTGCAGGGCTGCTGACAGCAGCTGCTCGTAGCCACTGGCTATGGGAGTCCTTGCTGCACCCCGACGCTGATGGACCCCGACAGCTCCATGCACACGCGGGCTATTTTTTCCCTCGCTGCTGTTTGCAGAGCTGATCCTCCCTCTTTAACCTCTGCCAGGGAAAACTTATCCCTCCCTCGTCCCCCCATTTGGGCGCAGAGCTGCAGGGATTTGGGAGCAACGCGCGGCAAAGCCGTCCGCAAAATCCGAGCCCACGTGGACCAGGGGACCCCGCAAAGCTGGTTTCTGTGTGCCGATGGCGTTTTGCTCCCCCTGTGCCAGGATGGAGGGGAGGGTGGCAGGAAAAAGAAATGGGGCTCTGCAGATGGATGTAGGGGAGAGCAGGAGGGGGGTGAGGTTGCAGCGTGGCAGCATCAGGCAGCGATGACATCAGGCTTCACTAAAAGCTCCCCCCACACACACACACTGGTGCTGGGGAATGAGATTTCCAGCTCCTCGTTGGATGCAGGGAGGGATCATTGCCATGGATTGCATTGGGGCAGGGAGGGCTTGAGTGGATCTGACATAATCGAATGAAGCTTCCCGTGCCTTCGCTGTTAGCAGGACGGGGCGCTGTGGCAGGAAGCAGCTTCACATTCCTACAGATCAAGGCGAAGGTGGGGATGGGGGGCAGAGGGGCTCCGATGGGGTGGGGGGGCTCTGAGTGACCTCACTGCACCATGCAATGTGCTGGGGGGGGGGGGATGAGCAAAGCAGCAGGTGTCCAGGCAGCAGGAATGATGCACTGCAAACCCCGTGCAATCGGGTTCAGCCTCACAGCCCCCCTATGGAGCAGCGGCATCGCGAGAGATGCCCACAGCCGTGCAACGATCCCTGCCACGTCCCCACATCCCCCCATTCCTTTTCTTGTCCGCCTTGCACTCTGAGCCCTGCTTGCTGTGTCAGCACCGTATTTATAGCTGCTCTGCTCCCGGCTCATCTCTTCCCCATCTGATCCCTACCTGGCCCTGCAGGCAGCACCCACCTCCATCCCCCCCCATGGAACAGCACCACATCTCTAGCAAAACGTTCAGAGCAACGTTTCTCGCTGAGCAGCTCCACCTTCTGCGCCCCCACCTGATCTGGGGGGGCACGCAGCGTTTGTGGGGTGCAAATCTCGCTGCCAATCCTTGCAGAGAGCAACAGGAATGCTGCGAATCATCAAAGCCCTCCGTGAGCTGCAGATCCTGCCAGCACAGGGCGAGCATCCCGTGGGAAAGGCACTGCAAAACCCCATTACAAAACCCAGCCCTGTGCCTGCCAGGAAACTTCCCCTCCTTCCTTTCCCCCCCTCCCTCAGACCCCAACCCCTCGAATCCCTCCTCGTTTTTTGTTTATAAGCCAAATGCCAATAGCAAAATACGAATCAGCTGTGAAGGCAGAGAGCTTTCCCCTCTGAGATGTTCAGAGCCGGACTTGCATCCCCCCTGCGCTGCTCTGCATCCCAAGCTCCAGCTGCAAAGCACACCCCTATGCATGCACTGCAGGAATGCTTTGCTCTCAGGCACCCCTGCTGCACGCTGCATGCTGCATGCCCTGCCTTTGCTCTGGAGGAATGCAGCAGGCTGGATTTGGGAAGCCAGGCAAACTGTTGCATGGAGTTTGCAGTGGAGCAGATCAGCCCAGCAAAGCGCTGATCCCCACAGCCTGGTGTTTGGGTGCTGCAGCATCTCTTGCAGTGCTGCAATGGCAGCGCTGAGATCTGCTGAGCCCTGACGGAGCTCCCCAAGGCTGCAAGCACAAATCGGATGTGTCCAGCTTGGAAACCAGGCAGCTCCCACTTTCTCCCATGCATCCTGTATCTTCATTAGGCCAATTAGCTCAGGGCCTCTCATTAGCACTACTTGACGTGCCGAGGGCTGCAAGGACCAAACCTGGAAGCTGGGGTGGCTCCTCCAAATCCCTCTGCAATGGGCCGGTGGGGGGCATCCCCCTCTTTGCAGCTTGATTTCCCTTCCCAGCTTGAAGGGAGCTCCTTCTTCTCCCCCTAAATGAGCCCTGCCTGCTTTCACCCCCTGACCCGGTGCTTTTTGGCCCCTGCTGTCCCCTCAGTCCCCCATGCAAAGGCAGCAGCAGAGCCCCGGATGGGCAGAGCAGCGGTGGGAGATGTGGATGCAGTCGACTTGCTCTGGGTAATATCTCCTGATTATTTGGCTGCCGCATGCTGAGGCTGCGGAGTAATCGAATTAGGCAAATATTATGGGGAAGAAATGGGCAGATAAGTAGCTTAAAGTGATCGAAATGACCTGGAGGTGGCCATGCAAATGGTCTGGATAATATCCTGTAATAACCCCGGCCAGGCAGCTGCTGGGAGATGGGATTCCAGTAACAGGGCGGCTGGGGGGGGCTGGTGGGAGCGAGCTGGGGGGGCAGAGCAGGGTACCCCCCATTCCCCTCCATGGC